TGTTGAGCAGGACAACATTTCTATCACTCATTTTAGGCAGTTGATATGGGATCACTTATCAGCGTTATCTCTGCGTTTATGATTAACTTTGAATCCTCTGACTTCAGTCTGTGCCCTCTTAATTTGAAACTTTCTTTGTATTGCAGGCGCACTGACGACTTCTTTCTGCCCTTTAAAGCAGAAGGAATAACCTTATGCTTTTCTTGATTTCTTAAATGATTTCGACGACTGGATGAAAATAGAGTTCAAGGTCGAAGAAGGACAAAATAACCATTTATTTTCTGGTCATGACGATAAATTGGTCTTTACCAATAATTCAGCCTCGTTCGGTTTTCCACAGAAAACGAAATTGCAATCGCTTCTTGCAGTACATTCTTGTTCTGCAGTTTACCTATCGTACATCATTAATACTGTCATCAACTTGTTGAAAAAGGCGATCCTTTATGGCAACCGTTCATCGGTATATAAACCAGAAATTCCAAATAAATCGTCATGCATATTTAAAATAGATGATTATGATCACAGTATTCTTCAAGGTCATCTCCATTCAAGTTACAGTCTTTACTTCTCACCTTAACATAAGCACGATATCTTTACCGTTTAAAATGTATCTATTTCCACCTCACGTTCGTTATATAAGTGTCCTCTGTGGAAAAGTCAGCACTCTAGGCAACATCTTGCTTGGCGAACAGTTTACAACAAGCGACATTCATTTTAAAAATTTAGACTGTTTACTTAATGGATTGTGGTGGCTGCCATAAGATTTGCTTTCATGTGACAAAGGACGATGTAAAGGAACATAAGGCAGCTTTCAAGAATGGACATGATAAATATTTTATTATTATCAAGCATGCTGCTGACAGCCTTCGCCGTACTGACGGCAAGGACGTGAATAACTTAAACAGTGAAAACACTTGTCAGTTTCGTGATACGCCATTCCGTCTTCATCACGGAATCTGGTGCAACCTGTATAAACGAGGACTAAGATCTGTCGTATAGCTGAATTCTTAAGCTCAGTAATTTAGTTTGGACTATTAAATTTTCTTTTGTTTATTTTATGCATTTTTTGTTTAGCTCCGCGTTTTTTATCCTTTTGTTTTTCATCTCTTATACTTTTCATTTCTTTTAAATCTTTCCTCGCTTGCGTTATATTTTTTGGTTACGATGCTTTAATTAATTACTTGCTAATTTTTGTTATCTGTGACTGCGTGTCTTTTTTGTACATTATAAATATGTGCTTAATGAAGAAATACCGTTGTAGGTCCCAGAAGCATAACTTAATGTATGTATTTTTCCAGGTTTCTAACTGCCTCTTAATCTGTTATAATTACGAGGCTGTTTATTCTTTTGAAGTAAGTGGTTGAAGCAAGTGTCATTTTGTTGTTGATTGAAGGAATTCTGATCACCTGCAGTGGTTTTAGAAAAGATTTAAAGCTCAGATATAAATAATGCTTTCATCTGTAACGGTTTATGATATTGATAAAATAGTACCGTATTTTCTCATCAATAACGCGTACCTCATGTATTGCGCACCCCCTTTTTTATGTTGAAATGTATAGATACGCACCTAGTAGATACCACTCACCATGTAATATTTATCATAAAAATGTACAGATAGCGTGTAGTCTATTTCTTGTCTGAAGCGGTTTTCGGACAAATGAATAATGGAAAAATATGATTGGCTGTGGCTGTGTCTAAAACAAGCGAACATAAGAATTAGCAAGGGTCACCATATTGCTTCTGGTTTTCGAACGCGTGTATTTTGCAAGCGTTTAGCTTCTACGATTGAAAGCTGCTCATGAGAAAATTACCCATGGAGAAAAAATACTGTGCTGAGCAAATCTTGTGCACCGATGTTTAAGCTGAAAGCCGTTAATTTCGCGAAAGAAATATCGTGAGGAATCGTGAGGCACCCAGGAAATTTAACGTTGGAGCGCCCAGTGTACGGTAATAGAGGAAAGGAGAAACAGTCCTAGAATGTTTACATCAGAAGAAACGTGCAGTGAGACACGGGAGATAACTCCGGCCAGAGCTCGTAAAAACACTTATCGAGTTTGTTCTTTCAAAGAAATTGAAAAACATAAGTTATACAAACATCCAATATTTTGTTGAGGGCAAAAGTGTTTGCAGAAGAGAGCAATATAGAACATTTTAAGGCTTTCCCATCATGAGCTTACTGATTTATGGAAAAAACAGTTTGTGTATTCGTTAATCCTCGAGTGTTGACTAAATCTACCCGATTACTGGAAGGCGAAATTAGAGAAATTTAGACTTTACGTTAAAGAAAATTTGTGATGTAAATCCTGCACATTTTATAATATGGAACCCGTTAGCTTTGATCTCCCTTGTTCAAGGACTGTTAGTTTAAAAGGATCAAATGAAGTTTCCATTGTCACCACCCGCACATAAGAAGCGTACATAGGTAGCTTGAAATAATTTGGAATTTTCATTTTTCGTTGCATAACGCGTAAATTTGTTTTTTTACGTTGACTGGACTTTTTTGTATAGACAACGCGCGCATTATCAGTGAGTAAATACGATATTTTACTTTGCGTTAACGTCTATTTAATTGTAATTCGTTCATTTCTTTGAT